CGTAGAAGTCCTTTGAGGCTCCTTTTGACGGTGTGTGGAATTTTCTGGCTAGTAGCGCAGAATCCAGAAAAAGGTGAGGTTCCCCCATTCCGCCACCCGGCCTCCATTTCTTAGAAAATGAATGGATCTTTCTTTCTCCAGGCCTCTCACCTTTCTGTCTTTCCCCAGGTAACTCTGTGCCACTGAATGGGGAATTTTCTCTTTCGGACTTATTGAGACCAGGAGGTAGAGACACAGTTAAAATTACGGACAAGTATTACCGCTACCAGGGCTCCCTCACCACTCCCAACTGCTCTGAAGCTGTGACCTGGTTTGTCTTTCCTCAGGTCATCAAGGTGCATCCCTATGTGGTGAGTGGGCTCATCTATTCTTTGAGGAAGGGTGGGGGTGGCAGCTGGAGGGACTAAATCATTAGGTTCACTGAATGGAGCCTGCTGGGGTCAGAGCGGACTGAGGCCTAGGCGTTTTGATTCGTGGGTTCTTAGGAAACACATGGATCACAAGGTCACTGCCACAAACAACACCCTCACGTTCAGATCCCCGACCCCAAATAGGTCACTGCATGCTGCAGGAGAATTTCTCTTTCAAGTCCCAAAGGAATTAGACGCCTGCTCCACAATAACTTGGAGCAGGGTTTTATTTGTGGCAGCCCCTCCTCTGTGGAACAAAGTCCTCTGTTGACCTGAAGCAGCTGCAGGTGCCCATTATATGCACTTTCTGAGGGAAAAGATGAGGCTGTTTCTGTTTCAACAAGCTTTCCCAGCTGGGCGAATAGGTCTCTGCCTTGGCTGTCCATTTCATATAGTTTTTAAACTCATTTCTGAGTTGTTGGTTTTTTAATGCTGCTTCCTAACCATTTTTGCTGTTTTTATTATATTTTGTAGATTGTTGTGGAAGGTGATCAGTTAGTTAGTTCATAAGGATGTAAAATCAGATTGTACCATCCCAAAGTCCCTTGCAAAAGGGACACAATATTTCAGGGTCTGTAAGGAGTTCCATCCCCAAGCAATCAGGTTTCCTTGAGAAGTCAGCTCTTATCTTGATAGGGGTTAAGGTGAATTACATGGTCCAAGGTGGGAAAGGGTTGAGGACTCAGGCATCAGAAGAGCCAAAGGTTGAGAGTGTAACCCAGGATAGAAGGCAGGGGGTCAAACTCCAAAGGGAACAATGTAGAGGAAGAGGAGCAGGTGTTTTAGCCTGACAGGATCCTCCTCATACAAGTAAGACAGGGCCTGCTCAGAGTTGGCCTCCTAGTTCCACACCTTGCCCTTGTTGGGCCTGGTGGAACCTGATTGGTCTGTGAGACCAGCTGACTGAGGGCTCTGTCAGGTAAGTGGTGGGGCATCCCCTTAGGAGGTACCTTTGAGAAACACACCTCAGCCTGCAAGGTTTGTGGCAGGAACAATGTGATGCTAGGTAGCACAGATAGTGAGGTGCTGGAGCCCAGTTGGAGTCCTGGTTTGAGACTCTCATGTGTCCCGCCCCACCAGTGCCTCACACAATATTGGGGCGCATCCGCATCCACATTTAAAGCACACTGACACACATTCAAAAATACACGGCTTGCCCCAAAGAATCCTGGGGGCTGTAGTTTACACCTTGCAGAGCTACAATTATTTGCACCCTTTAATAGACTAGTCCTCAAGATTCTCTGGTGGAAGCCATGCTCTTTAAGTGTACAGTATGGATGTCACCTCAGTTTACTAGCAGCCCAGATTATCTATGACCTTGCTGAGTCACATTCTCCATAGAATGAGCATGGTCCCCAGGGAAGTCCCCTGGTGAGGTGCTATAAGGGATTCTGGGGAGCTCCTTTGCACACCTCAAAAATCTCCAGAAATGCTTCAGTGAGTGGGCTAGGTTGGGTCCTTCCTGGACAAGGTTTTCCTTAGAGTTAGGGTTTACCTGCCAAGGAGGCCACACAGAATCTTTACAGATCTGGGCTTGGCAACAGCAACGGAAACTTCTAGGTCAGTAGGCAGTGTCTCCTTTCACAGTTGTTTGGAGAGAGCTTTCATGGCGGAAGGCCACCTCGATCCCCAGGCACTCAGGTTCGACTTTAGACATTTGACAACTGGTCCTTTGCCTGCATGGGTTTCCTGAGCCTGTTGTATGTACTACTCTCCTTTTCTCTTCCTCCTCCTCCCCCATTTCTCCTGTATTTTCTCCCTTCTAGGTGAAGCAAATTCCACCAACTCGCTCTTTTTTACCACGCAAAGGAAGAAAATCGGCGTATGGCAGGATAATTACCGGTCCGTGCAACCCTTGAACAACGGCGACGCGGATCAGTGCCTTCAACCTAAATGAGTATGATCCCGGCCACAATGCCCTGGCAATAGTTTTGGGGCCAAAGAGTGTGTGGATTGGCAAGGGAACTGATGGCAACTGTTTTCTTCTGCTTGAATAGATCCGAGCTATGCAGGGAGTTCTATCTCCTGACCCAAGAATAATAATTTCTCAATGTGGTGTGATTCATAAGGAAGACCATATTCTCTCCTTCCCCCTCCCCTTTTGATGACGAACATATGAGGTATTTCTTAGAAAAATTAAACCACCTCTATTACCACAACGCATCCATGGCCTGGTTTTCTTTTATTAAACTTACATTTACTCATTTTGTACTGCACCACTCAGTATATCAGAAGAAACTCATGTAGATTCAGTGTGAAGGAGTATATTGGCTGCTGTGGGGTGTTTTAACAGAAATTCGAGCCCAGGTTTTTGAGGCAGTTGACTGTGATTTGTCCCGTCTGGGCCCATTCCCCCACGACAAATGGAGGCCTTCACTATGTGCCCTGCCGAGTAGGAGGAAGGCCAGCTTATTCTTTTATCTCTTTAACATGCAAATGCTGGAAACATTTTTGCCTAAAAGAGATCATGAACACCAAGAGTTGCTGTCAGTGTTAACCAGACATGAATTGCCTGGTTGGTTGCCTCCACAGGCTAACCGGTCTGCTTGTTCTCAGTTGCCGCTTCTGCCCATCACTGAGAGGAAAATTACCTACAGGCCAAGGAAAAACTTGGGGATAGCCATATAGGACTCCCCAGAGACTGTACTCCTTGTGTGGAAAATGTGGTGGCGGCATGGTGTCCTCCGATATATTAAGCCACTGTGGTTAGAGTTATAGTGGGTACACAGTTGGATATAGGACCAGGGAGACACGAGTTCAGATTCAAGTCTGGCCTTATCATGAGGCAAATCATAGCAATTGCATCAGGTGCTGGGTCTAGGAAACAGTGAATTAACACCCTCCCAGCCCACACAGCAAGGATCTTGTGGCTATGCAGGGCTTCTCCAAAGCGCTTGCCCCATCCTCATGCATCACTCTGAGGGACAGCGGGTCCTTGCTAGGTTCCTGAGTTGCAGGGGGTTGGACTAGATGACCTTTGTGGTCCCTTCCAGTTCCATAATTGCTCAGAGTGAAGCATTCTTGGTGAGTTGGGTGGGTGGGTGGGGGGAAGTGCCTTGCCATGACAGCTAGAAAATTGTAAAACAGATTTTTTAAATCAGTTAAATCTAGAATTACTGAAGTTCATTTAAATCTTTAGCTGCTTTTGTCTTTCCCAATAAAATTTCTAGCTGCTATGACGAAGTGGCAATAGCGCTGGCACTCACCCGGACCACCTCTCTCAGAATGCTGCGACCTCAGTGCCCCCTCCCTTAGAGCTAGGCAGGCAGGAGGTAGAGCAGGGGTCTGCAACCGCGGCTCTGGAGCCGCATGTGGCTCTTTTACACCTTTGCCGCAGCTCCGGGGCGAATACTAGCGAGGGGAGGAGGCACATTGTGTGCCCTGACGCTCCCCACTGTGGCGGGCGCTGTACTGGCTGTGACGTCGCATGGGGGTGGTGCGTGCATTAGTCACGCACTGTCCCGACGTCACCTTCCTGGTTTTGCGGCTCCCAGATTTTTTTCTTCGGAAACGGGTCCAAGTGGCTCTTTTTGTCTTAAAGGTTGCAGACCCCTGAGGTAGAGAGACCCCATTAGCAACAGCAAGACAGATATAGAGTAAGGAATAATTAGCATCGCTTGCCTCTATTCATGTCAGTGCAAGCACACACACAGCAGCACACAATCCGCTTAATTTAATTTCCACACACATTTGTCTTTTAAGTCACAGCTTATTCATTAGTTCTCAAAACTATTTTCACAATAGAAGCTCCCAAGGAATGATCAGTAAGTAGCATTCCATGCATTTTCCATTCGTGAAAGTTTCCACTTTTTTTGTGGTTGTTTTTTTTTTATTTTTAAAAAAGTGATTTTCCACCATTGGAGATTGGTCGTACACAGTGTTTTTTCCCCTAGAAGTTGTTTCCCTAGAAGTTGTTTCCCATGAAGTTGTTACAGTGTGTGTCACACTTTTTAACAGAGAGAAAGACAGAGAGGTGCCAGTACGCACTACGAAGTTGTTACAGTACACTTAAGTGCCACACTTTTTAATCACAACAAAAAGAGGTAGTGGTGCTGTGTACCCTTGAGTACCCCCCTGAAAAAAGCACTGGTCATATAACAACAACAAACAAACAAACTTTCAAGAGAGCAAGGAAGGTAGTTAAAGGGTGGCTGTTTGCCTCAGTTTCTCAGCTAATGTAAACCTCTGGTCCCAGTTGCTGCTTCTTTGCATGATGGGGAATGAGTTGGGTCACACATGCACGCACATCGCTTGGTGCCTCAGCGGCAGCTGAACGTGTGAACACACTTCACTGGAGATGTGTTGCCTTTGAGAGGTTGCCACTAGGGACTATGGGTATTCTCTGCAGTGCTGGAGACGCGTGTGAATGTGCCATCCAAAGTCACGTTTGTGGGAACAAGCAGAGCTTCTGCCAATTCCTGCTAAAACGAGAGCTGAAATTAATGTTGATTTTTTAATCATTGGAAGTTTTAGCCCAGATAGACCTGAACCTCAAACTCCACAAGGAAATCTATATATTTCAAGTGATTCCCCGCCACCCCCCCATTGCTTTTGTTGACATCTGAAGTTTTGGTATGCAGTGTATCAAAATGTGCGTCATTGCTCAAACGTTGATGATAGTTCTATTCCACTTAAACCCAAACGTTGATCTGGAAACTCAAATATCACCGAGAAACAAAGCCACAATATAAGATTGGGAAATGTCAACAACGAGCTCTTTTGAATGGAAAGTTTCAGCTCTAGCTGTAGTTGACTGAACCGCACTCCTTCCCCAGCACTGGGCATCCTAGCTGCTATTGATCTCCTTCTCTGTGCTCCTCTCCTCACTGAAATGTGCACCTCCTGCCTTTTTAGTGTCCTTTGCCAGTGCTTCTGGTACTGGATGAGCTGGTTGAGAGGTAGATGCAGGTGAATTGGAGTTTCTGAGGGGGACAGAAAGAGTTGTGGCCTAGCTTTGGCCTCTCTGGAGATCATGTCGACTCTTCCTCCATGTGGTTCCTACATCCACCCACCCACCTCCAGCCTTTATGCAGGTAAGAAGGATGCAAGAGTAGCCACAGAAATGAAGAGGAGGAGCCCTACTGACGGAGAGGCTATCGAGGCAGCAGATTTGTGCTTCAAAGCGGCAGACGATTCCACTTTCCGGTCCCCAATGTTCTGCAGAGGGCGGTAGTTGTTCTCAATATGGGGCCCAGTGGAGGAGTCTGTTGAATGAAGCTCATTCGGAAAAGCATGCACCTATTGGAAGGGAGAAGGAAGGCGTCAGGTGGTGGCACATGGCAAAGGAGGAACTCCTACGTCGGGCTGTGGGATCTACCCGGTGAAGACCAGGATGTGGCAACTCCACAGCACGAGTTACGACAGCGTGGAGTTGAACTGAGGTTTCTCAGCTGCTCTTGAATTGTTGGAGAATTTTGGTTCTCCGCTGGAGAACGTTCAGCAAACTGCCCCCTCACTCTCCAGTTCCACGACCCACAAACAGCACACAGAATTGGGGGAGGCCAGTTCTGTTCAGCCCCGTGACACTGCTTTTGACAGAATAGGATAACGTAATGAGGCAAATAAGGAACAGGACGTAATAGTGTACAGCTGGGAAATGGCTCTGTTCTCTCTGGTCGTCAAGGTGCTTCCTTCTCAAGGCCACCTCCGCTTTCAAAGCCTCTCTTGCCCTCCCATTGGTGCCTTCACCACTCGTCTACCTGCTATTTGGCCATCCCCTGTATATCCTCAAGGTCTCTGACCCATCTAACGCTCACCCTCCAGCTCAACACATCTGCTTCTTGTACAGAAAAAATAGGGTCAGGGTTTGGGGTTGACTGTAGAGTCCAGCTGCCTGAGAAATCTAAACTTCCATTTCTCATTCTTCCAGGCCTCCTCTTTTAACTCCCAGGTAGGGCTAGGAATGTCCCCTGTCTGAAACCCTAGAGTAGGGCGTAGCTCAGGGACAGAGCTCTTGCTTTGCAGGTTCAATCCCTGGTATTTCCAAGGATGTCCCCTGTCTGAAACGCAGGGCAACCAATTCCCCAACTTGGGTCTCCAGCTGTTTTTTTGGACTACAGTTCCCATCATCCCTGACCACTGATCCTGTTAGTTGAGGGTGATGGGAGCTGTGGTCCAAAAAACAGCTGGAGACCCAAGTTGGGGAAACCCTGAGTTAGATGTACCAACAGGTCTAATTCAGTATTTGTTCCTACCTTCCTGGTGTGGTGGCTGTGGGAGAAGAAATCATTAAACCATAGGCCACCACCCAAAAGCCCAGTTTCTAGTAGGGAATAGCCTTTTTTTTTTTTTACTTCAAACACCAAGAAAAGTCTCTTGATCCTAATTGCAAGGGGAGCCCAGAGAGGAGAAGCCAATCTCCCAAATTTCCCTCATGTATCCCAGAGTATAACATACCTGTGCTCTTCAGTTGGCCTTTCCCAACCTAGTGTACCTCAGATGTTTTAGACAACAGCTCCGCCTACCTCTCTAAGGACTTCTGTGCCTCAGCATTCTGCCTACACACAGACACACACAAGATGGCAGCACTCACCACGTCTTCCGACACCAGAATGGGGTCGGCAAAGATGGTCCACAGCACAACCTCGTCACACCCGGGGGTGGTGAGGGACCCCGGGTAGCGGTAATAGCGGTCAAGCTCCGGGCGGCCCAGCAAGTCCTGGAGAGAGAAGCTGCCATCGAATTTTGTCTCTTCACCTGTACAGGGGGAGGTAAGTTGCTTGCATCTCTGCTCCATACTTAATTCACATCCTAACCTACATCACAGGGTTGTTGTGAGGATAAAATGTTTTTTGGAGGGGCCTTGAGTTCCTTAGAGGGAATGTGGGATATAATACAGATTTCATAAATAATAATAATGGTTCCCCAAAGCCATTTCTGACCTGACTGGGAGGAGAGGGGGTTGCGGGCAAAAACCCTCCTCCCCACTCACACGGGGGCGGGACCTTGCCCCCGCGTGAAGAGGGAATCCCCGGGCGTGCCTTCCACCCCACCCGCCAATCGGCGGGCCGGGGAGGTGTGGCCTGGCCCATTTAAGGCCAGGCACGCCCGGGGACCGCCCTCTTTCACCTTTGCTAGCCGAGCGGTTTTCCCATCCCACCCACCCTGGAGGTTTAGGTAGCTATGGCCTTGCTATGGACTTCGGTTGGTCGCCGCAAGGGGCCTGGTAGGAATTTTTCCAATTTGGCACACTTCGAGCCTTTTGGTTTTTTTCGCCTACCTCGTAGCAAACGTCACAACTTCTGCGGTATTGGCGGTTAGGCATTGGCAGGGGTCAATTGTTATGCAAATGAATGGGGGGGAAGGAAGCGCCATCACCTTCCCCAATGGAAAGGGTAGTCCGGTAGAGGACTCCGGGGGGCGTTGCCTTGTCCGAAGCCTAGGGAGGTCAGGGCCCCCGGCACGCCCCCGAGCGGTGACACCCGTGGGATCCTAGTTGGCGTACTTCAACAGGACTCCCACGGCTTGTGGACAACCCTTCCCGGTTTCCATGCCGGGTAGTCGATAGGAGCCAATGCCTAAGGCCAATACCTTCCAATTCTGTAATCAATAAAGTTGTGGCCTTTTCATGCCCATTAACCTTACATAATGTGTCCAGTGTTTTCATTTCTCTTGGGGAGAGGACTTGCCACGCAACAAGGGACTCTTGAATACTGTAGTTCTATGTAAGGTTCTGAAGAATTTCAAGGGGCTCTTGTGAAACCACCATTCACAGGATTTATCAGGGAGGCGACTGAAAGAACCACACCACTCTGGTTATTTTTTGTTCCAATTCATTGTGGTAGCCATGATGGATTCTCTGAGATGAGAGAAGAACCAGATGTTTTCCTTGGCTTCCCACTCACTGATGGACTTACCCTTTTCCTCAACATCCTTCAGCTTCTTTTTAAACGATTCCCATGCTTCAGCTGTCTTGCCTTGTGCCTTCTCATAGCCCTGCAGTAAAGAGGAAACATCATATAGTGTAAAATAAGACCGAGAAATAAAGTGTGATAAAGGAACCTAAGAATCCTAGGGCTCAGCATCTCCTGTTTTAATGTCTTCCTCCCCTTCCCAGGGCTACCTTAAGAAGCAGAGGCAGAGGGAGGCAGGAATTGTGGTGCTCATCGCTCATGATGTCGTTGGCATTATCCAACAGGCGCATACTTTTTGGGACTTTGTTCCAGCGAGAAAAGATGATCATTTGAGTGCTGGGGAAATGTGATTATCTCCTTGAAAGAAGTGCTTCTTCAGAAGCAACACTGTCCGTTTATCACACAGAACAATCTACTGTTTGTCAACAACATTTGCTTCTTCCAGTTCTCCTGTTTCCACTATGGATTAGCTAAGTGGTGTTTTCAACAGCCATGCCCCCTTAACAGTGAACTCGAGGCAAAGCAGTTCAGTCAGTGGCCTGGTTGTGCATCACATTAAGCCATCGGTCAAATTAAATGATGGTTTAATGCATGGGTAGGCAAACTAAGGCCCGGGGGCTGGATCCAGCCCAATTGCCTTCTAAATCCGGCCTGCGGACGGTCCAGGAATCAGTGTGTTTTTACATGAGTAGAATGTGTGCTTTCATTTAAAATGCGTCTCTGGGTTATTTGTGGGGCATAGGAATTTGTTCATTTCCCCCCACCACCCAAAAAATATAGTCCAGCCCCCCACAAGGTCTGAGGGACAGTGGACCGGCCCCCTGCTGAAAAAAGTTTGCTGACCCCTGGTTTAATATGACACGGTGAATGACTGGCCAAGAGAAAAACTCTTGCCACAGTTCCCAGAATCGTTTGGGAAAAGCCAAAACAACCAAAATGCTTTACAACTGATATCCCAGCTGGTAGCATAGACGTGCACAAACCTTCACCGCCCCAGTCCCTCACCTGGACAAAGAATGCTAGCACAGCAATGCCCTGTGGGTCCTTCAAGGCTTCCGATAGACTCGTGTTGTTTTTGGTGTGCACGATGTGTAACTGAGGGGAGAAAAGAAAATAGATCAGTTTGGGACATACGGTATCCCTGCTGACCCACTTGGCTGCTCCATGAGCAAAGAGATAGACTGCAGTAAACAAAAGCCTGGTGCGTATTGGAAATCCATCCTTGTGTCAACTCCCCTTAGACCTGGTCATTCATACTTTCTAAAAAGCCCTCTGACTTGAAAGCTTTGCATACACTGATAAATACAGTATAGATGGAGTTTATGCTGCTGTTATGCAGAGGGAAAAGAAATGTACATGCACATGCTCAAGGGAACAATTATTATAACAAAAAATAATATTTGCTAATAAAGCAGAAGGAAAGAAAAATAAATATAATAAAAAATATGCCAGCTGACATTAACATGCTATCAATCCCAGAATCCAGATAAGAGAAGATATCCTCACCTCCATAGAGTACCGTTCGCCGTTTATGTAGTGCTCTGATCCGGGTTTATGGACTCCATCTCCCCAGTGGAGGTGAAAGGCCTTGGCTGTGTATGTAGCTGGAAGCCCAGGGCCGCTCAGCTGGAGACCTTCGCCCAGTTCTATGTCAACTGCAGGCAAAAGGAGAAACCAGACCAATTTCTATTAGGGCATCAAGAGTGTTGGAATTCTCCGCCAAAAAGCTTCTCTTACTGCTTTTGTAGCCGCGGAAGTGGTGTCATTTGCAATCAATGACGCACAGGATTGGGCTGGGTTGGCCACACTTTGGTTTGTACGATCGGGAAAGTGAGTCCAGTTCCCAGGGTTCTTTTGAGAGGAAGGGAAATGTACATGTGCTCTGCATGTGCTTTGAAGGTACAGTGGGCACATAGCCACAGAAGTGCATTTTCAGGGTGGAGGGGGCCGAGTTTTGTCCTGAAAGAGAAACATCAGCGTCCATCACACACTGACGGTGCCATCCTTACTGCACCTCCTCTCAAGTATATCCTATTGATTTTGACAGAGTAAGCAGAGTAATGATTTTGGATTTCAGTTGAACATAATGATTCGTGACTTATTTGTGTTGATTTTTGAGGGTGATAACTTTTGCCAGGAAGCCTGACAATGCTTAGGATTTCTGCCTTACTAAATTTTAATTAAATCATCAAACTGGAAATTAAAGTACCGTATGTAAAAGGTGCCTTCTCTTCAGGTAGCCACAGGGGTTCAGTAATGTGGGGTGCAGTCCTGCATGTCTAGAAGGAGACACTTACCCCCTCCCTCCCTTCTCTTGAACCCTCTTCCGGCTATTGCCAACCAGGCACCCTCCATAAGTTTTTGATCAATTCCTGTGCTAGCAGGGGATGAAGGGAGTTGACGTGCAAAATATCTGGAGGGCAGCAGGCTGGCGAAGCCTGGATCCTGCCGAAGCACATAGGTAAAGGTAAAGGGACCCCTGACCATTAGGTCCAGTCGTGGCCAACTCTGGGGTTGCTGCGCTCATCTCACTTTATTGGCCGAGGGAGCCAGTGTACAGCTTCTGGGTCATGTGGCCAGCATGACTAAGCCGCTTCTGGTGAACCAGAGCAGCGCACGGTTCCCGCTGGAGCAGTACCTATTTATCTACTTGCACTTTGACGTGCTTTTCAACTGCTAGTAGGTTGGCAGGAGCAGGGACCGAGCAACGGGAGCTCACCCCGTTACAGGGATTCAAACCACCGACCTTCTAATCGGCAAGTCCTAGGCTCTGTGGTTTAACCTACAGCGCCACCCACGTCTCTGCCGAAGCACATAGAGCAGGCCAATAACAAAGAGCAAAATACAAGGTCCTCGATGGAGCATTTCCCATTGATGATTGGGCCATTCAAACATCCCCATCAGAGAGATGCAGAACTGCCTGCTCTGCAATGAAACATGTGTGAATCATTGCCAAGGTAGAGGGTGGGATCGTCTCCTTCCAGTCAGAAAGTGACACACACAAAGAACAGGTGGGCTGCCCTGCGGGCAGGCGATTCTGTGTTTGAAAAGTACTGGTCTCTCTACCAGCCAGCTCAGGTGGTTGGTGCCCGTTGGTTTGGATTAAAATAATAATAAAAAAATGGTCCACCCACCAGCTAAAGGAGAGAAGCACCAAGCTGTTCTGACCCACCTGAAAGGGGGCAGAATATCACACACACACACACACACACACACACACACACACACACACACAACAACAACAACAACTGGAGGGAAGAGGACTGAACATGCTGTCATGGGGCCCTGGCAGAATGTGGGCAGAATGCAGGTGAAATCTCTTGATCTGCCTACAGCTTGTTAAACTGAAGGGAAATAAATGACACTCCCCTTCAGAAAAGAGCAGGCTGCCTTTCCAAACCTGTCCCAGGCTGAGGGAAAAGGTTGGGAGATTCTCCCACACTCTTCCGGGCTCCTCCATGCTGCCATCACTGTAAAGTTGGGGAAACCCAGCTTTTTACTATGAATACACAGGAAGGGATGGAGTTTGGCAGCTTCCCCGTCTTGCAGTTTTGTGTCTTTTTTTTCCATACTTTCCTGCTACCTTAAGGACCAGAAGCATAGTGTATTAAAAACGAAATGCTTACACACTCACCTGTTTTCCCAGTGTTCTTCATTTCCAGCAGTTTTTTGGTGTCGTTGTAGCCGGTGAGAGTCACTGCACCCAGTTTGGGGTTATGCCTGACACTGCTGGTGACAATATCGATGGGAGATTGCCTCTTGCCATTGCAATGACCTTGGGATGACCACGTGTCAGGTCCTGGCCAAGAAAAGGAAGAGCCAAAAACAAACAGTGTGGTAATTAGAGATGGGGAACTGAATTAAATAAATAAAACGGAGAAGCAGCAGCAGGAGGAGGATTCTAAACTTCCCGAAAACAATATCCTCTGTTAGGTAGCCCTCCCACTTAGCTCTGGATCTGTACAAGGAGTAGAGAGGAAAACACACTTTGTGCATGTTCAGGGGCATTTTTAGTCCATTACAGAATAAATGCCCTGGAAATAAAAGTTGAGTTTGGTGTGATGGACTTGGCTCAAAAGTATGCCTTGCTTGGAATCTGTGGCTAAAGAGAAGTTAGGGCTGCTATTTTTCTTACCACAGATTAGGCTGTCGTAGCACCAGGAACCTGTCAGGAAAAGAAACAGAGGTGGCATAAGTTTATGGGACCGAATCCAATTTCGGAAGATCCAATTTCACCCCCAAGAATTATCTTTTAAAGCCCTTTCCAGAGCAAAATGGAGAGACTTGGGATATGGGTGAGGTCAGGGTGGCGTTACCTGAAGAACTGGCATAGCATCCCCCAGAAAGCAAAAGGACCACCGCAGTGAAGGTCGCTGGTACCCAAACAGAAGCCATAGTATGCTGGAGAAAAAGTGCAGGAGAACAGATGAGTAAACGATACCATTCTTGAACAAATGAGAGAATTCTTGAACAAGAGTCTGGGTCAATAGCAGCATACGGAATTTACCAATGTCCGTTCGGTGGGAGAAGTGAGGGAGCTTACCTGGCAACACAAGCAAAAACCAACGTTATACTTGTAGCTGCTCTGCTCTCTACAGGTGGCAAACGTTATGATTTCCCCAGGCAGCCACAAGGTCTAGAAACTTGTTTTCTTTTGGAATAACAGTTTGATTTGATACGGACTCCCACAGGGTAGGTGGAGTTACAACATAAATGTGGATTAATGGGGTGGCGGCAGAGCATTAACGAGCAACGAGCGTCTTCAAACTAAACAAGAGAAAACATGCTCAAAACCTCACGGCCAGAGGTTTAATGTGGCTACCAGAAGCCCAGATAAACGAGTCTTGCAAGGTTTGCGGAGCAGATGAAAACGTTAGCGAGTCTTGGATTGAAGGTCAAGGGAGTCTCTTGCGTGGCCTTGGGACGGCTATCAGTAACATTCTGTCTCTTTAAAATTGGTTTACAGGTGGCATAAAAGCCATTCTCCTTTAGATCCATCTGTGGCTTTGAGGTAGCAAACGAGTTCAAAGCAGTGTCCTAAGGACTGCTTGAAAAGTTCCAACTTTCCCAACGCGCTGGAAGTGGGGAAATGCATAAAAGTTGTAGGCAGATCATCTCGTGTAGGTGGTTGTGTGCAAATCTTTCGGTGTGTACAGGATACATGTGCATGGGAGAGGCACACTTGTGATGATTTGCACATAGGAAGCTACAGGGCTCCATCTGGCTCTGTACTGTCTATGCCAGTGGTTCCCAATTGGTGGTCCATAGACCCGAGGGGTCCATGTAACCTACCCAGGGGATCCGTGGCACCATTCAGATGACAAAAACTACCATAGGGTTATTGAAAATTTCAACAGTAAGGGGGGCCATGTCTTGGCTTTTGAAAAACAGGGGTCCGCAATACTTAGGTAACTGGGGACCATTAATCTGCGTTGACTGGCAGCGATTCTTCATGGTCTGTACAGGAATCTGTTCCAGCCCTGCCTACAGATCCTGGGGGCTGAATCCAGGGTCTTCTCCATGCAAGGGGGAAGCTCTACCAACCAGCCACAGATGTTCCCACATGCGAAACCACAAGCCACAGTAATGCCTATTCATTCACAGAAGTGTAACACCATACACACAGACACATCTCATAAAATGGTTTACCTTTCTAAAAATGACAGGGTTAAACTGTAGGACATGAAAAATAATAATAATACCTTATTATTATCGTCATTTTTAATTTACTAATCGCCTTCCAAACCACGGTCTCAAGGCAATTTATGTATAAGACAATTAAAAACAGTTAAACACAAAAACAAATGTATTTAAAACAAGACTAAAACCCTAACAAGCGGACAGGGGACAAAAAAAAATATGTCTTCAACTGATTCTGGTCTGGAAAGTGCAGATAATTTCCTCCTGGATGTGACTGCCACAAGAAGTGGTGAGGGTCACCAGTGCCAATGGGTTAAAAAAGAGATTAGAATATATATATATATATTGCTAGCTATGACAGCTGAATGGATCTTCCATCAACAGGAGCAGTGTATCTCGGAACATTAATTGATGGGAATGAATAACAGGGAATGGGCTGTCATCTTCCTGCCCTGCTTTCCAGAGGCATCTGACCAGGCGCTTTTGGAAACAGAATGCAAGATTAAGCTGATCCTCCAAAAACGATTCACCAGAGCACTTATGTCGTTAGTAAACACCACAACTGTACCCCTGAGCGCATGTAAAGTTAGTTTCTGCAAAATGGTTTCCTTCCAAATCTGGGGGTCCGGTCCCCATTATTTCTCCACCCAGCCCCAGGTAAACTCACCTGTCAAGTGTGCTCCTCTCTTCGTCCGCCTCCTGGGCAAGTTGACACAGATGATGGTGGAAAAGCATCTTGGCTCCTTTTAGGTGATATATATATCTGTGCATTAAGGTCACCGCCCTGTCTGCTTCTGGGGCGGGTGGAATTACAGAGAAGGGGAGGGTAGATTACCAGGAAGGAGAAAAGAGAAGATAAAAAGGAGCAGGCAGGAGGCAGTCAGTCAGTCAGGGACGGTGCAGGAGAAGGGGCAGGCCTCAGGCAAATCCATGTAGGCTTAGTCCCCGCACCTATTCCTGGGGAGGGCAATGATTTCATACGCAAAGGCTGTGAGCAAGTCAATTACACAATTAGGAAATGACTCGAGGTAGGAGCCAACCTTTCAACATGAGGAAGCTCACGTCCCCATTTCTCAAAAGCAACCCCTTCCTCCCCCCCCCATGCTGTAGAAACCCAGGGGCTGATCAAACCACTAGATTCCACTCCCTTTTTTTTGCAAAGTAAGCCCCTAACCCCTGCACAGATCCATACTTGCCTTTCAGGGGATTAAGGACTCCCCGGACAACAAAATCTCACCACCTTTCCCTCCTGATCCCAAGTGCTCTCTTTCTCAAGCAACCCAGAAGTACCGGTTTCTTCCCACCAGCAAGGGAGGGTTGCCAACTTTTCCCTCTAGTAAAAGTTCCTGCGCCCTTTCTGCATGACAAAGCAAGTGGAAATTCCCTTAGCTACTTGGATTTACAGGCTGGATCCTTTTCACCTGTCAAAGAACCTTTGAAGCCAAGTAGAGCACGAGACTCTGCACCTCAAGGTTGTGGGTTTGAGCCCCCACATTGGGCAAAAAGATTCCTGCACTTCAGGGGGTTAGACTAGATGACCCTCGGGGGTCCCTTCCAACTCTACAATTCTATGATTCTAAGGGGAATGAGGCCTAAGGTGCAGGGATAGGCAGAGGCTTTCCAATTCAACAGATGTATGTTGGCATGTTGAGAGCTGATGCGAGTTGTAGTTCAAAACGTCTGGATTGCATCAGTTTTTCCTCTACCCAAACACTCCCACAAAGCTAAGATTCCCATGAGCAGGGCTATGGTTTTTGTAACAGTCGTCAGGCAGGCAGAAATTCAGCAGGTGAAGCTTCCCTCCATCACTGCATCTCCTGCCAACTTTATCTCTACAGTCAAAGACATTGGCAGGTTGCAGAGGAAAGGGAGAGGGAGAAGAGAAGAGAAGAGAAGAGAAGAGAAGAGAAGAGAAGCAGGGCTTCTCCATCAGCTCTGCTGACATATCAGATGCTCTGACTGCTCTTTCCCCTCATCTCAGCCATTCCATCAGGTTATCTCAGGTATCCCCAAACTCGGCCCTCCATATGTTTTGGGACTACAACTCCCATCATCCCTAGCTAACAGGACGACCAGTGGTCAGGGATGATGGGAATTGTAGTGCCAAAATATCTGAAGGGCCGAGTTTGGGGGTGCCTTTAACGGTTATCTGAACTATTTCAATTCAAGCCATGCGTTTTTTTAGAAGTAGGAACTGATGGCACCTGACATTTGGTTTCTTCCTCCCTGCTCCCCATTCCCTTTTCCTTTTCTGTCATTTTTGAAAATATCTTAAGCATGTGGGAAAGAACAGCCTTTCGGAAAATAATGGTTGTTCTGTAAGCTGCTCTCTGGGAGCTTTTTCAGCTGAACAGCAGAGAAAAAAAATATCCAATTAGGTTCTACTTAGAGTAGACCCACTGAAATTAATGGGCCTAAATTAGTCATGCTTTTTGACTTCAGTGGGTCTGCTCTGGGGAGGACTAGCATCGGATGCAGATGTTTCTGTATAATTTCTGCCTGTGATGCAGCTGTTCAGACAGAAGAAACCAGCCAGGCTAGAAGGGGAGACAAGGGGCACATAGCCCTGCTCTGGAAAATACTGATTCCTCCTCAACCCCATCAGACACCCAGCCCCAATTCTCTGTTGGGGAGGGTAACCAGGAGTCCTGTCTCTCCAAAGCAGCTATTTCCCTCAGGGGAAAACTTTGGTAATATGGCGCCCTCAGCCAGGACATAAATTGCACCCCCCCAATATAATTTTCAAAATAATTCCTTTTGGTACAGTTGCTTTTTTACGAATCTTACAGGGATGCTGCTGGTGGTGGTGGCGACTTTGCACCCCTCGGCTCAGCACCCTGTGCGGGGGAACTGCCCACAGCACCCTAAACCTGGCACTGATTTCTATGTTAAGATCAGACAAGTGTTTGACCGGAGTGCTGTAGGGACACTCACACTTAGCCATCAAAGCACACTCTTTGGTACGTTTGGGGGATGTGGTTTTGTCATTACAACAAACCTCTTTCTCATTGCAAATTTCAAGAGAACCGGTTGGGGCAGGGCAGGGTATGTGGACTGACCAGCTTTGATCCACTTCGTACTACTCACCCTAAACAATACCCGGTATTAATCCTTGTAGGGGCAATAGAGGAAGTGAGGATGAGAAGGGATACTCAAGGGTAGTGGAGTTCTATTCCCATTACAGGCTAGAAGGGGAGAAATCGAGATTAGACGGGTATGGGGTTGGTGCCCAGAGTCCTCCAGAGAGGACTGAGTTGCACTGGGCAAAGCATTAGAGAGGGTTGGGTTGGTTTTTCAGGGATGGGTGGGTTCAAGACTTCTAGATTCTTTGGAAGGAGAGAGCTGGGCTGTGTGTCAGGATTACTGGCTCTGGGTTGGTACATGAGGTCAAAAGTGCTGTGGGTTATGGGATGGGCACACCAGGACTCCGGGGTTCTTCTCAGAAAAGGGGAAGTAAGGCATTACTCAGTAATGGTGAAAGCAGAGAGTGGAAATGGACTTCAGATAATGCAGCACTGCTCTTTTACCCTAGGGCATGAAAGACAAGTCACCTGACCCCCTTAAGCATCTAGGACAAGGTGAACATTTCGAGTCATATTATATAACTTCTCAGTAGGGTTTCCTTATTGGTTCATTTAGCTGGTCCATTCGTGACCTCCACCACCATTCTCAAAGTTTTATAGGCAATATAATAGTATTTTATTTTATTTTATTTTACTTTACAATTTTTAGTTGTATAGATTAGTATACAACATAGGCTTGCCATCCAGTAAACAGGATAGGTAAAAAGGTTAATGGCCCCTGGACAGTTAAGTCCAGTCAAAGGTGACAGTTAAGTCCAGTCAAAGGTGACAGTTAAGTCCAGTCAAAGGTGACTATGGGGTTGCGGCACTCATCTTGCTTTCAGGTGGAGGGAGCTGGTGTTTGTTCGCAGATAGCGTTCCGGGTCATGTGGCCAGCATGACTAAACTGCTTCTGGCGCACGGAGGACCATGACGAGTGCCAGAGCGCATGGAAATGCCGTTTGCCTTCCCATTGCAGCGGTACCTATTTATCTATGTGCACTGGTGCGCTTTCAAACTGCTAGGTTGGCAGGAGCTGGGACAGAGCTCACCCCGTCAAACTGATTTGAACTGCCGACCTTCCGATACAAAAGGAAAAAGGCATGAGGAGGGAAAGGAAAACAAGCAAATTCAGGGCCTAATTCTTCCCTAAAGTGACACAGATTTTATAATGTGGGAGGCAGTCCTGGGAGAGCAGGAACCACATGCCAGCTTCCTGTCAGCTGAGCCGATGGTGGCTACCATAGGATCTCATGGAAGCAGGTCAAGGAGGAACCTGAATGTCTGGCTCTGAGAAGTCAGGAAGAAATGCGGACAGGGAATTGAGGAGCCCAGGGTTTCCCCCAAATATCCCAAGCCTCCCTCCCCTCTCGTTGTTGTGAGTCAATCCAAGAGCCCTGAGGCAGAGAGGCCGCTGAGTGAGTTGTTTTGCGTGCGGCAACTTGGAGGTGGCAATCTCTTGCATCATCCTTCCGCCTGCCAGGCCGGAGTTTCATCTGATGAGGAAACAAAGACAGGTAGCGACGATTTGGGCAAGATATAAGGAGCTTGTTGTGGCCTGGTTTTCATAATCAGCAACCTGCTGACAAGCAGCTCTCTGCTCTCCAAACCACCTTCGGTCCCGGGGTGCCAACAACGCCTATGCCAGAGTTCACCCCGAAGCAATCAGATTTTTTTTAAAAGTTTTTTTACGAGTGTCCTCCCTTCCATTCTGAGGACGCATCACGCCTAATAAACCAAAAAGGTGGAATGTGGTGTGATGAGTTTATGATTTCAAGACTTTTGAGAACAGCAGATATTATGGTATAAAAAGGCTTGATTTTATACCAGTCAGCCCTACCCTACTAACCATATTGGATACTCCCTGCCCTCCTGTCCCTGCTGCCATTGACACCAAGTGTGAACCAGGCTATGAGAGATGGAGTGGAAGATAATGCTGTCCCAACACATGAAGGTCACTTTGTGGCCTTGGGCAACTGTCTCCCAACTAGGAAGCTACCTCACAGGGTAACTAGGAAGATAAAAATGGGATAGCTCCGTCTACACCGCCTCAAGCTTCTGAGAAGACAAGCCAGTAGTTACCTTTCAATAAAATAAATGTTAGATTGTGGTTGGGCTACACATCCAGTTAGCTCAGTTGGTAGAGCATGAGACTCTTAGACTGCCTGCACATAATATGTTTAAAGCATGTCCCTCCCTACTGAATCCTGGGAACTGTAGTTGGTTAAGGTTGCTGGGAATTGTAGCTGTGTGAAGTGCAAACTACAGTTCCCAGGAATCTTTGGGAGGTGTTCTTTAAATGTATGGTGTGTTCACAGCGTCAATCTCAAGGTCATGGGTTCGAGACCCACCTTGGGCACATACCGTATTTTTCCATGTATAAGATTATATTCTTTCCTTAGAAATAATAGGCAAAGATTGCGTGTCGTCTTATACATGGATAGAAGAGGGGGGGGGCAGACGATTGGTGGCAGCAGCCAGCAGATTAGCAGCAGCGATAGGGTGTGTGATTGGTTGCTGCGGCAAGGCCTGCTGATGATTGGCTGCAGCTGTGGCAATTGGGCAGGCTATTTGTGGCAGCGGCAAGGGCGTGCGTACAATTGGCTGTGGTTTCGTTGAGTGTGCGCTTTTGGCAGCAAGTTTGCAGACGATTGGTGGCTGTGGTGATGTGTGTGATTTGCATTGGCGGGCAGGCGGTAGAGCAATT